TTGGGTAATTTTGGGACTTGGGGTTTCAAAATGTTAAAAGAGGGTTTTGTTATTTTGATTCTAAAAATGTGTATCGTGGGTTTCAAAATAATGATATTGTTGTTGGTTGTTGATATATAGACCATTGGGTTAATATTGGGAAATGGGGTAGAAAACCCTAATTGGTTGTATAAATTAATTGATATGATTAATTTGGGAAAATTGTGGTTATATGGAATTGAGTTGGAAATAATGAAATTGGCTCATTGTATAGTAGAATAGTGGAGTTGGATTTATTAATCGCTCACTTTTGAAAACGTTGATATTTTATCTGTTGGAGCTTTTATTATCTGTTTAGAAATAATTGTTGGGCTACCGTGGAGGGTAGTTTTGATTGTTGTAGACAATGCATGATGATTAGGCAAAACAAAACTAATCAATTAGATATGTCATAGGTATGACGGTTGATAGAAACATTAACGTTATGTATTGATTGATTGTGTATATGACCTATGTGTATATGCGTTTGTGGTGTGGGAGGAGATAGGGGTGTACTCAACGGTTTAGGGAAAGATAGGGATGGACCTTCTAAACCGAATGTTGTTTGGGAGTAGATAGGGGATGGACTCCCACTGATATAGCTCAATATGCTTGTCAGTTAACGTGTTGATATAGCTTATATGCTTATCTATGGAAGTGTTGATACAGCTCATATGCTTATCTTTGGAAGTGTTGATATAGCTAATATGCTTATCTGTTGAAATGTGGATACAGCTTGTATGCTTATCTGTTGAGATGTTGATACAACCAGTATGTTTATCTATTGTAAAATGGGAAACGCTTAATATGAGTCACTGTCTCATATAAGTGGCTGGCCAGGTTCTGAGCCGTTGATGTAAATTGTGAAATTATTAAGAAATGAAAAATGAAATGAAACATGGACATAGTGGTCACGTAATGGAAATGGGTTATGAATTGATTTATGAAAATAGAACATTTATCAATTGCTAATGTCTTAGTTATTGCTCATACTGTGTTTAGCATATCTCTACTGGGCGTTGGCTCACCCTATATGGGACATTATTTTCAAGTACAGGTAGTATGCCACCTCCAAGGACATAGCTTGGATGATGAGGAGAGTTGAGGACTCCTTTTTGGTTTATTTTGTTTGTATTACATGTATATCAAGCCAAGGGCTTACTTTGTATAGAGTTAGTACTCTTCTTTTGTGTAACCAGGTGTTGACTTGGAAAGCTGTAAGCCCATAGAGCATTTGCTTTTTTTGTTAACATGTAATACTGTTGTAAGAACTACTCTGATGAATAGAAATGGTTGGTTTCTTTTATATCAATGCATGTCTCAGGTGTTGGGTTTTATGTTTTTTTTTTTTTGAGGGCGTTACAATGCCTGTGGGTGAAGGTTGGATTACTTGAATTTGGACAATTCATTGAAATCCGCATTTTAGCCTACTCGCGAGTAGCAAATTTCAAACCATTTTCAAATAAATGAAAATGCAATGCTTTGTTCCAAATTAGACGATCTAGTCTATACTTGTGTGTTGTGCGCATCACATAGTACATTCTAGCTAATAACCGGAATAAGAACGCATATGTTTTCGAAAACAAGATATCATGCTTAGTACAGGCCGATCTTTGATCGGGCGAGTGGGGGTACTCATTGCATGACCTTCCCCAATCATAGCCAAGTTCCCGAGCCGAGGCAACTTTGGTGATGACGGACACGTGGCCTTAGGCACGAGTCAGGGTTTCCTAAATTCCCCCAAAATAAATATTTAAGTGGCGACTCTATATTTGGCAAAGCAGTCCATGTTTGGCACTTCTTTACAAAAATCAGTTTTCCAAAATGATTTGCCGAATTTAGACTCTTTGGTGATTTATTAATCTCACATCGCAGATTGTGAGATCAGATTAAGAACCATGAAATTGAGTCCGAACTATAGCATGAAGCCCAAGGGCGCGTCTACAGGTAATTACCAAGATAACTATTTACAACTATAGATAAATGATTTAATTTTTGAAGGATTTGATCTTCACTCAGACCATCGATATTCCATTCGTATAACTTTTTAGCAGATATAGAAAATTGATTATTAAGATTAGTTTCTTCATATTGGAGATCAGGTGATGTGGGTCGAGAATACCAATTTTTGGTAAAAGTGGTTGGAGTTGGTTTAGGATAATGAAGTTTATTAAGATTAGTCGATTGAAATTGTTGAGCTAAAATATTAATTTCATTATCAGTTGTATCAGTTTCTGTTTGAGTAGAAATAGGTTCTAGAGTATGTTGTTGATTTAAAACAGTAAGACATTTTTCAGTAGAAGGAGAAGCATGTTCAGTAGTTAATTTAGAAAATAATTGTTCTATAACTTTGACAGTAGAATTATCTTTAGTGATTAGACTGTCTCGGTTAGACCGATTACTAGGTAAATTTAATAGTGGTTGGTCCAAAGTTTGTTTGCTAGAAGAGGTATGGTTAGCTGAATAATCTTCTAAGTTGGTTTCTATCTTATCTAATTGTTTACCTATCGTTTTTAAACATTGATTAGTATAATTATTTTGTTCAATAACTTTTTTAATTTCACTTAAAGCGAGAGGCCTGAATAGTAGATCCTTAATGTTCAATGAGTATAGTAGATAAAGGAGGGTGCCTAGAACGAACAGTAGTATTAGGAGAAGTATTCTATTTATGTTTTGTGATTGTTTTAACTTTTTTGTAATGATCTTCTAAATATTCAAATAAAGGAATTTCAATATTATGTTCAGTTATAAATTTGTACCATTTTTGAGTGATTATGGATTGTTGATTAGAACCATATTTAAGTCGATAAGCATGACGTTTGGTTTTATTAATTTTAGATTTAAATTCAATGTGTAATTTATCAAGATCGGGAGCAAAAGGTTTACTAATAGTCATTAATTGAAGATTAATTGGAGGTATAATCTCGAAATCAATTTGAGTTGGGGAATCTTGAGATTCAGTGTCATCTTCAGGTAAATGTGTGTATGTTGAATAAACAGGTTTACTAATTTGAGAAGTGGTAGAGTTATCTACGCCTTTCATTTTACTGTGGGAAGTTTGACCAATATGAATTTGACTATTTTTTCTAAACAAATGTGTATTAAATATTTCGTCTTCAGTTTCAGTTTCAGTATCAGTAGGTATACTAGAAGTACTATGACGAGAAGATTGAGATCGATTAAATTTAATCCTAACAGATCCATCAATAAATTGTTGTATATCTTGAATATCTTGACAAGTAGATTGTCTTTGATTATGTTTGTAATTTTCATTAACTGTAACCCATTGGTCGGGGAGGATAATATTTTTCCATTCAATCATTTGAGGAATATTTATATTAGTGTCATTATTACTACTTTGGATTAATAAGGTTTTGTCTTTAGGACTTTTATGTAAGGCTTGAACATTTAAATTGGTTTTAATACATTTATAATGAACACGATAAATTAAAGCAATATTATGAACTTTTTCTTTCATGTTTGTAAATGAGCCATGTAATTGAATATTTAAAGTTAAAGCATCTAATATATGAAGGTCTCTAAGACTAAGAGTAAAATCAGGAAAGCAATTAAAATGAACGGGTCCTTTGTGAAGACCAGTTTCCATCATACCCATTAAACTATCATTATAATCAAGAAATCGAGCATCTCTTAAATATAGTAAAACAGAAGTATTTTTACCTTGTTGTGTTAATGGTTTGATTCCAACTTGAATTAACCCTAAATGAATAAAATTGTGACCAATTTTTATATGACGTTTAATAGTATTAGCATCAAATAATTGACAAGTTTCTCTAGGTTTTTCTAAGGCATAGACTTGTTCTAAAGTTTTAACATGAAGATTAACATTAAATGTATTCTGTATAAAAGTAGTTTTGTAAATTTCTTTAATTGCTAAACGAGGTATATTCCAACTTAAATATAGCGACCCCGGTCTTTTCCCATTTAATTATTGTATCCGGACTGTTCCGTAGATTCTGTCATTGTAAAATGGTTGTTGTTGTTATTCCTTATTTTCTCATTTGGAATTATAGGATGTGTTGGGCAGGTTTGATTACTAAACCTTTGATTAGGTATAAAGGGCAAAGTTGTTGACCTAGAACTAACTGAAGAATTACTTCTAAATAATAGACTCATTTTTCTAGAAATAAAATAGTTTACAGTGAGCTCAATACATTGTTTAATTTTATCATGTTTTTACATACTATGTGTTCACACATACCCAATTCGGAGAACCCCTAAGATCCAAAACTGCCTAACCAAAGGACTTACCTAGGACTTGGGATGAAGGATGGGTGGCTAATAGCAACGTGGAAAGACACGAATAAAATTTGAACAGATTAAGCCAAAAGACTGTAAGCAAGTTCAAAGTAGAAGAATGAGGAGACAGAGAAATAATTTTTCAATTAGTAACAGAAAGCAACATAACTTGGCTATAATTTGGCAATGTATAGTGGTATTTTGCCAAGTTATAGCAATGGTGCTCCAATGGTCATTTGTTATTTTGGCAAATCTCAACCAACTTTCCCTCCAAGTTTGTAAGTGTTGTTTGGATTTAGGTTTTTTTGGGATTTTATTTTATTTTTATTTTTTTCCCCTTTTGTGACATTTTTTTTCCTGTTTGTCAAAAATAAATATATATATATATATATATATATTATTTCCAACTAGACAAATATAAAAAATAAAAAAAATTGAAAAATTGAAAAAAAAAATTAAATATAATTCACCCTACCAAAAACATATCACTACATATTTAATAAATTTTTTTAACTACACATAAAAAATAAACAATCACTAATTACCCACCAACAATCATCCATCATTCGCCCATCATTAATTCACCAACAACCATTCATTATTAACCCAGCATTCATTCACTAACAACTATCCATCCAACAACCATCCATTATTCATCCACACATCTAACAACCACAAATTATTTATCCACCCACATTCACCCACTCACCCATCCACCTACAATGAACAATTTGACTAAAGTCATATTGAATGGAGATTTTGATGAATCTTCATCGTCTAATGATGATATCATCATGATACAACTGTTCACAGCGCAACAAAAAGAATACAGACGTTAAGTCTAAACGAACAAACCAGACGAGTTGGTTCCACAAGTGGTCGTCGATACATTAATCAAGAAAGGGTCAAAGGCCACGAACAAATTTATAGAGATCATTTTGCAGATAATCCTATCTATCTAGAAGAATATTTCCGAAAACGTTTTCGAATGAGACGGTCGTTGTTTGTTAGTATCTTAGAGCATCTCCAACCATTGCTGCTATAATGCTATTGCTATTGCTATAATTTAGCAATGAATAGTGCTATTTTGCCAAATTATAGCAGTAGTGCTCCAATGGTTAGTTGCTATTTTAGCAAATCTCAACCAATTTTTCCTCCAAGTTTGTAGGTGTTGTTTGGATATAGGTTTTTTTGTAATTTTATTTTATTTTATTTTTTTTTTTTTGCCTTTTGTAAAAAAAATTTACCTCTTTGTTAAAAAAAAATTATATATTTATATTATTCCCAACTAAACAAATGCAAAAAATAAAAAAAATGAAAAAATGGAAAAAAATTAATATATAATTCACCTTACCAAAAAACTTATCACTACATATCTAATAAAAAATTTTAACTACACATAAAAAATAAACAATCACCAATTACCCACCAACAATCATCCATCATTTTGTTAAAAAAAAATTATATATTTATATTATTCCCAACTAAACAAATGCAAAAAATAAAAAAAAATGAAAAAATGGAAAAAAATTAATATATAATTCACCTTACCAAAAAACTTATCACTACATATCTAATAAAAAATTTTAACTACACATAAAAAATAAACAATCACCAATTACCCACCAACAATCATCCATCATTGGCTCATCATTCATTCACCAACAACCATCCATTATTTACCCAACATTCATTCACTAACAACTATCCATCCAACAACCATCCATTATTCATCCACTCATCTAACAACCACCCAGGCCTGGCCCTAAGGGAAGCCCCAAGAGGCTTGCGCCTTGGGCTCCCAGATTTGGGCTGAAAATAGGGCCCCAAAATTTGATTTTTTGTTTTAGATATAAAAAAAAAAAATCCAAATGTTATAAACCCAATTGAATATAGGCCCAATAATGTTCATAATAAAGGCCTATAACAAAATCAGTTGGCTACATTAATCATTATGAACACGGAACCGAGTCCGGATTATAGTTAAACAACAACAGGAAATATCGGGACCGCTATAATAGAGGCCCATAACAAAATCAGTTGGCTACATTAATCATTATGAACATGGGCCCAACCAAGATATACCCACCTGGAAAAAGAATTCACATGGGTCTTTACAATTTGATTTTGACGAAACACATTTGTCATTTTGAGAAGAACGAAACACAGCAGCACAACAAGCACCTGATAAGAATGAAATGAAACACATCTCTGTTCTGTCTCCTCCATATTTGACGAAACCATGAGTCTTCTTGCATTGGACATCAAAACCGTGAGTCTCTCTCTCTCTCTCTCTATATATATATATATATATATCACATTTAAATAGAGGAAGTTTTTGCCCTAATTTGTTGCCTTAATTTTTCCCCTAATTTTCCTATTAATTTCTTGCCCTATGATTTTATTTTTGTTGTGTTCTAATTCATGTTTGGTTGATGAAGATTTTTCTTGCCCTATTTCACATTTATTTTTGTTGCCCTAGATTTTTGATGAAAGTCTATAATTTTTGTTGTGTTCTAATTCTGAAAATATATTATTTGCAGAGATCAGTGATTGTGAATTTGTGTGGATTTGTGATTATATAGAGTAGTCATCATGCCTCCTAGGAAGTATATTTCTGGATGTGAAAAAAGGAAAATGAAGCAAAAATTAGAAAATTTTATTCAATCTCAATCGGGAGCGCTTGATAAATTTTTTGGTAACAAGAAACAAATAGAAAGTTCATGTTTGGTTGATGAAGATTTGGTAATTGAAGAACTTAATCAATGTAATGAGAATGATAATGAAGATTTGGGTGTTGAAGAGCCTATTGAATGTTTGAATGAGAATAACAATGAAGATTTGGTGAATGAGAAAGCTACTGAAAGTGAAGATTTTAATGTTAAATATGGACCTTTAAATATTAATGACCCTAGTAATTGGGACAGATTGATCAGAATTTCAGAGATTTATTAGTTGAAAGAGGTCCTATAAGAAGCGATGTTGTCAATTTTCCTAGAGATGACGAGGATAGGCATTTCTCCTCTACACATTACATTCGAAATTTACCAAATGAAGAGAAGCAAGATAGGAAATAGCTAGTATATTCAGATGCTTCAAACAAAGTATTTTGCTTTTGTTGTAAGTTATTTAAGAAAGATGGGAACAAGACTTAGTTGGCTACTAATGGATTCAAAGATTGGAAGAATCTAGGTCATAGGCTTAGAAGTCAGGAAACTAGCAATGAACACATGACTTATATGAGCAAATGGATTGAATTGGAAAAAAGATTGCAAAAGAATGAAACAATTGATAAAGGTGTTCAAGAACAAATCAATAGGGAGAGAGAACATTGGAAAAAGGTGTTACTAAGGATAATTGCTGTTTTGAGAACTCTTGCTAAAAATAATTTAGCGTTTCGTGGAGACAATGGGAAGATTTATCAAGAAAGAAATGGAAACTTTTTGAATTTAATTGAAATGATTGCTCAATTTGATTCGGTAATGCAAGGCCACGTTCATCACATTGAAAGGAATGAAATTCATTACCATTATCTTGGCCACAAAATCCAAAATGAATTGATACAGATGTTAGCGAATGAGATCAAAAGTACCATTGTGAAAAGAATCAAAGAAGCGAAATATTTTTCAGTTATTCTTGATTGTACTCCAGATGTTAGTCATGAAGAACAAATGTCTCTTGTAATAAGATGTGTGGATGTTTCAACTAATCAAGTAAAGGTGGAAGAGTTCTTTTTAGAATTTTTAAAAGTGGATGACACATCGGGATTGGGTTTTTTTAATGTACTTAAAGAGGTATTGTACACACTCCAACTTGATATTGGTGGTATAAGAGGGCAAGGATATGATAATGGCTCTAACATGAAAGGGAAACACAAAGGTGTACAGAAAAGGCTACTTGAAATAAATCCTAGAGCATTCTACACACCATGTGGTTGTCATAGTCTTAACCTTACACTTTGTGATATGGCTAACTCTTGTCCCAAAGCTATCTCTTTTTTTGGAGTGTTACAACGTATATATTTATTGTTTTCATCTTCTACAAAACGGTAGAAAGTTTCAAAGGTCATGTAGAAGGTCTCACATTGAAGCCATTGTCACAAAAAAGGTGGGAAAGTCACGTTGAAAGTGTTAAAACAATAAGATATCAAGCTCCACAAATAAGAGATGCTTTAAATCATTTGGCAAATCTTGGTGAACCCCACAATACAAAGAGTGAAGCTGAGTCTTTAGCAACATATGAAATTGAGAACTTTAAATTTTTGCTTGGCATGATTATTTGACGCAATTTATTGTTTGCAGTTAACTCAGTTAGCAAAATATTTCAAAGGGAAGACATGCATATTGATGCTGCTATTAATTCAGTTAAAAGGACTCATTACCTTTCTTGAAAAGATAGAAGAAACTGGATTTTTGGATGCCATGATTGAGGCAAAAGAAGTTGCTACTCTAATGAATTGATCCATGTATTTCGTGAAAAGCGTGTCATTCGCAAAAGAGAATTTGATGAGAATGTTAGTGAAGAGGCAACACAGACTGCTGAAGAATCTTTTAGAGTTAATTACTTTATGTATATAATTGATCAAGCTCTTTCTTCACTTAAGAGTAGGTTTGAACAATTTCAAGTATATGAGGAAAATTTTGGATTTTTGTTTGATTTGAAAAAGTTGAGTTCTACCAACATGGATTGTTTGAAGACTTATTGTGTTAATCTTGAAGATTTTCTAAAACACGATGAACTTTCTGATATTGATGGGAGAGATCTATTTTCAGAATTGAATGTCTTGAAAGAAGTTTTACCGGAAGGAATCAAAAGGCCAATTGAAGTATTAAATTATTTGAAAACAATGGATGGTTGTTTCCCAAATGCATGGATTGTGTATAGAATTTTGTTGACCATACCTGTTACAGTGGCCACTGGAGAAAGAAGTTTTTCAAAGTTGAAGTTAATCAAACCTTACCTTCGGTCAACTATGTCACAAGAAAGATTGAATGGGTTAGCTTTGTTATCCATTGAAAATGATATGGTGGATAAATTCGATTATGCAAGCTTCATTAGTGATTTTGCAGCTGGATAAATTCGATTATGCAAGCTTCATTAGTGATTTTGCAGCTAAAAATGTCAGAAGAGTAATGTTTATGTGATAGTTGGTTCAATTGTAAACTAGATATTACTAAACTATAAAGCAACAAAACCAGATTTTTAGTTTTTTGAGTATTTGTAATGATTGCTTCCGATCTTAATATATGAAAGTAAATTTCTGTTTATAATTTTAATGATTATATGTGCAAATAATTTTTTATCCATTTATCCATCAACTTTTCTTTTTTTTTTTCAATGTAAGAAAGGCCCCATTTCCGAAGGTCGCCTTGGGCCCCCTAAATCTCAGTGCCGGCCCAGTAACCACCCATTATTCATCCACCCACCTAACATCCATCCTTCATTCATCTACTCACAATTTTCTCTATAAATATAATATAAGGTTTTCTACAATTTTCATATTCACTTACCCATCATTTTCTTATCTTTTAAACTCTCTGTACCCACCTAGAAGATTTTCTACAATTTTCATATTCACCCACTCACCAATCCACCTACAACGAATAATTTGACTAAAGCTATATTGCATGGAGATTTTGATAAATCTTCATCATCTGATGATGATATCATCATGATGCAACTGTTCACAACGCAACAACAAAGAATTCAGACGTTAAGACTAGACCAACAAACTAGACGTATTGGTTCTACAAGTGGTCGTCGTTACATTGATCGTAAGAGCGACAAAGACGACAAAAAAATTTATAAAAATTATTTTGCGGATAATCCTGTCTATCCAGAAAAATACTTCCAAAGATGTTTTTGAATGAGACGGTCATTGTTTGTTAGTATCTTAAAACATCTTCAACCATTGCTGCTATAATGCTATTTTTATTGCTATAATTTAAATGAATAGTGTTATTTTGCTAAATTATAGCAATGGTACTCCAATAGTCATTTGTTATTTTGGCAAATCTCAACCAACTTTCCTTCCAAGTTTGCAAGTATCGTTTGGATATAGGTTTTTTTTGTGATTTTATTTTATTTTATTTTATTTTTTATCATCTGTGACATTTTTTTACCGGTTTGTAAATAAAATTATATATTTATATTATTCCTAACTAAACAAATAAAAAAAAATGAAAAATTGGGAAAAAAAAAAAGTTAAGTATAATTCACCCTACCAAAAAAATATATCATTACATATTTAACAAAATTTTTTAACTACATATAAAATATAAACAATCACCAATTACCCACCAACAATTATCCATCATTCATTCCCCAACAACAAACCACCAACAACCATCCATTATTAACCCAGCATTCATTCACTAACAATTATCTACCCAACAGCCATCCATTATTCATCCACCCACCCAACAACCATCCATCAGTCACCCATCCACAATTTTCTCTACACATATATCACAAGATTTTGTACAATTTTCATATTCACCTACCCATCATTTTCATATCTTCTAAACTCTCTGTACCCACCCAGAAGATTTTGTACAATTTTCATATTCACCCACTCACCCATCCACCTACAATGAATAATTTGATTGAAGGCATATTGAATGGAGATTTTGATGAATATTCATCATCTGATGATGATATCATCATGATGCAACTGTTCACAGCGCAACAACAAAGAATATAGTCGTTAAGCCTAAACCAACAAACAGAACGTCTTGGTTCCACAAGCGGTCGTTGATACATTAATCGTGAGAGGGTCAAAGGCGACCAACAAATTTATAGAGATTATTTTGCAAATAATCCTGTCTATCCAGAACAATACTTCCAAAGACGTTTTCGAATGAGGCGGTCATTATTTGTTAGTATCTTAGAGCATCTCCAACCATTACTGTTATAATGCTATTTCTGTTGCTATAACTTGGCAATGAATAATGTTATTTTGCCAAATTATAGCAATGGTGCTCCAATGATCATTTGCTATTTTAGCAAATCTCAACCAACTTTCACTCCAAGTATGCAGATGTTGTTTGGATACAGGTTTTTTTTGTGATTTTTTTTTATTTTTTTGTCTTTTGTGACATTTTTTTACCTGTTTGTAAATAAAATTATATATTTATATTATTCCAAACTAGACAAATATAAAAAAAAATTGAAAAAAAAAATTAAATATAATTCACCCTACCAAGAAAAATATCACTACATATTTAGTAAATTTTTTTAACTACACATAAAAAATAAAGAATCACCAATTATCCACCAACAATTATCCATCATTCGCCCATCATTCATTCACCAACAACCAACCACCAACAACCATCCATTATTAACCCAGCATTCATTCACTAACAGCTATCCACCCAACAACCATCCATTATTCATCCATCCACCGAAAAACCATCCATCATTCACTCACCCACAATTTTCTCTACACATATAACATAAGGTTTTCTACAATTTTCATATTCACCTATCCATCATTTTCATATCTTCTAAAATCTCTATACCCACCCAAAAGATTTTCTACAATTTTCATATTCACCCACTCACCCATCCACCTACAATGAATAATTTGACTAAAACCATATTGAATGGAGATTTTGATGAATCTACATCATCTGATGATGATATCATCATGATGTAACTGTTCACAGCGCAACAACAAAGAATATAGACGTTAAGCCTAGACCAACAAACTAGACGCATTGGTTCTACAAGCGGTCTCCGATACATTAATCGTGAGAGGGTCAAAGGCGACAAACAAATTTATAGAGATTATTTTACAGATAATCTTGTCTATCCAAAAGAATACTTCCAAAGACGTTTTTGAATGAGACGGTCATTGTTTTTTAGTATCTTAAAACATCTCCAACCATTGCTGCTATAATGCTATTGCTATTGCTATTGCTATTGCTATAACTATAATTTGGCAATGAATTGTGCTGTTTTGCCAAATTATAGCAATATTACTGTAATGGTCATTTGCTATTTTGGCAAATCTCAACCAACTTTCCCTCCAAGTTTGTAAGTGTTGTTTGGATATAGGTTTTTTTTTTTTGTGATTTTATTTTATTTTATTTTATTGTTTGTCTTTTGTGACATTTTTTTACGTGTTTGCAAATAAAATTATATATTTATATTGTTCCCAACTAAACAAATATAAAAAATATAAAATTGGAAAAAAAATTAAATATAAATCACCCTACCAAAAAAATATCACTACATATTTAATAAATTTTTTTAACTACACATAAAAAAATAAACAATCACAAATTATCCACCAACAATTATCCATCATTCGCCCGTCATTCATTCCCCACCAACCATTCATTATTAACCTAACATTCAATTACTAACAACTATCCATCCAACAACCATCCATTATGCATCCACCCACCCAACAACCATCCATCATTCACCCAACAACAATTTTCTCTGCACATATAACACAAAGTTTTCTACAATTTTCATATTCACCTACCCGTCATTTTCATATCTTCTAAACTCTCTGTACCCAACCAGAAATTTTTTTACAATTTTCATGTTCACCCACTCACCCATCCACCTACAATGAATAATTTGACTAAAGCCATATTGAATGGAGATTTTGATGAATCTTTATCATCTGATTATGATATCATCGTGATGCAACTGTTCACAGCGCAATAACAAAGAATATAGAAATTAAGCCTAAACTAACAAACCAAACGTGTTGGTTCCACAAGTGGTCATCAATACATTAATCGTGAGAGGGTCAAAGGCGACAAACAAATTTATAGAGATTATTTTACAGATAATCTTGTCTATCCAAAAGAATACTTCCAAAGACGTTTTTGAATGAGACGGTCATTGTTTGTTAGTATCTTAAAACATCTCCAACCATTGCTGCTATAATGCTATTGCTATTGCTATAACTATAATTTGGCAATGAATTGTGCTGTTTTGCCAAATTATAGCAATATTACTGTAATGGTCATTTTCTATTTTGGCAAATCTCAACCAACTTTCCCTCCAAGTTTGTAGGTGTTGTTTGGATACAGGGTTTTTTTGTGATTTTTTTTTATTTTATTTTTTTGTCTTTTGTGACATTTTTTTACCTGTTTGTAAATAAAATTATATATTTATATTATTCCTAACTTGACAAATATAAAAACAAATTGAAAAAAAAAATTAAATATAATTCACCCTACCAAAAAAAATATCACTACATATTTAATAAATTTTTTTAACTACACATAAAAAATAAACAATTACCAATTATCCACCAACAATCATCCATCATTCGCCCATCATTCATTTACTAACAGCCAACCACCAATAACCATCTATTATTAACCCAGCATTCATTCACTAACAACTATCCACCCAACAACCATCCATTATTCATCGACCCACCCAACAACCATTCATCATTCACCCACCTACAATTTTCTCTACACATATAACACAAGGTTTTCTACAATTTTCATATTCACCTACCCATCATTTTCATATCTTCTAAACTCTCTGTACCCACCCAGAAAATTTTATACAATTTTCATATTCACCCACTCATCCATCCACCTACAATGAATAATTTGACTAAAGCCATATTGAATGGAGATTTTGATGAATCTTCATCATGTGATGATGATATCATTATGATACAACTGTTCACAGCGCAACAATAAAGAATATAGACGTTAAGCCTAAACCAACAAACCAAATGTGTAGGTTCCACAAGTGATCGTCGATACATTAATCGTGAAAGGGTCAAAGGCGACAAACATATTTATAGAGATTATTTTGCAGATAATCCTGTCTATCTAGAAGAATAGTTCCAAAGGCGTTTTCGAATGAGGCGGTCATTGTTTGTTAGTATCTTAGAGCATCTCTCACCATTGCTGCTATAATGCTATTGTAATTTGCTATAATTTGGCAATGAATAGTGCTATTTTGCCAAATTATAGCAATCATGATTCAATAGTCATTTTCTATTTTAGAAAATCTCAACCAACTTTCCCCAAGTTTGTAGGTGTTGTTTGGATATAGGTTTTTTTGTGATTTTATTTTATTATTATTTTTTTTTCCTTTTGTGACATTTTTTTGCCTATTTGTAAAAAAAAAAAAAAGAATTGTATATTTATAT